GAAGACTAGAAGAATGGTATTTATAGGGAGATGGAAGTACTCCTGTGAACCATTTGGTTAGAATTAAGGAAGGAGCATTTCCAATATTAGAAAGATGCTGCTCTGAGAACACAAAAGAATAGATCTTCACCACAAAATGGCAGGGAGGGTCAGAGCAATTGCTACTGCCCTGTGCTTTAGGAATCCCACAGAGCTGGTGACAGGTGGCAGACCTGAAAGGTCTACCACTGGTGGGTGCTTTAAAAGTTCACGTTCACATCCTATCTGCCATCAACAAGGCATTGGAAAGACCACTGATGCTTGGGGGTTTCTTTAAGTTTTCTGCTTGACCTTCTAGAGTGAATAAAACATGTAGAAATTTTTGTCTCTGGACATTCCTTCCTTGGACTTGGCCCCCATTCCTGTACTTAATTGCCTGGTTCTCAAATGTTCTCTCTCCATCCAAACCCATCCCTGGAAAGAGTTCTGAGACAGTCCTTTTATGGCTGGCAAAAGGGTCCCTTCTCAAGTAACTTAAATGTCATCAAAGTTAAAGCCCAAACCGAGGGCTGGGGATGTAGCTCAGTGGTAGTGTTTGCCTATCCCATAGGTCTGAGCCCCAGTGCTGGTGAAATAAAAATCCCCAATAGATATATGAAATCTCAGGCCACAGAAGGATCCTTAGAATTCCCTTATTCATCTTTCTGCCTCATTTTGCCACCAAAATAAAATAAAATCTGCTGATTTGCACTTCCCTGGAAGGACCGTGGCCTTTTTTCTTCCACTGTGGTCCTCAGAACATCTCATTGATGTGTGGGTAAAAAATGGTGGGAGGGTCTTCTAAGGCCCTACCTGACACCAACAAACCCCTTCTTTGACAGCTTCCAAAGGACCTGAACCTAAAAGTAAAGCTCTCCGTGGAGGGCACCATATGTTGGCAGACACCCGAGGAAGGTGATGTGAGGAGCCACACGAGGGCCAGGCATGAGACAGGCAGGGTGCAGGTGCGGCACCATGTCCCTCATCCCCTCGTTGAGCTGGATTTCCATGCTTTCACATCAGAAGATCTTTTTAGTCTCCTTTTAGATATGATAGCCACATTCAAAACTTCCCAGTAGATGGTGTTTCCTAATCTGAATAGCCTAGTTTTCCCTAAGCATGTATATCCAAAAGCAGAATTTAAACTTTATTGAGTTATAATAGGTACACAAAAACATTGCATTTACTTGATGTAAACATTTTACTGAGTTTGGATATATAAATATACTCATAATACTACAATCAAGGTGCAAATTTTTTCTCATGTTCTTTTTTGGATTTTCTTTTTTTGTTGTATTCTGGGTTGTTTGTTGTTATTGTTATTGTTGTGTTGTATTTTGTTTTGTTTTTGTTGGTTGATTGGTTGGATTTCTGGTGCTAAGAACATTTAAGATAAGACCTTTCTTCTTTCTTCTTAATATAGTATAAAGGGTACACTATCATATCGTTAGCTGTAGGTACTATGTTGTACAACAGATCTCTAGAACTTATTTGTCTTGCCTATTTGTCTTACTGTAACTATACCCATCAAACAATTACCTGTTTCCTCCTGACCCTAGGAACCACCATCCTACTCTCTTCTATGGGTTTGACCAGGTTCAATACTTCACGTAAGTGGAGTTCTGCAGTATTTGTCTTTTTGTGGCTTGCTTAAATCACTGAGCATATTGTCCTCTGTGTTCATCCATGTTGTCACAAATGGTAGGATTTCCTTTTTTCATGGGGCTGAATAGTATCCCTTGTACATATATATCACCTTTTCTTTATCCATTCATCTATCAATGGACATTTGGGTTGCCTCTACCTCTTGGCTGCAATGAACATGGGGACAGGGGTGAACAGATGTTGGAGATGATGATTTCAATTCTATTAAATATATACCCAGAACTGGTATTGCTGGATCCTGTTAGGATTCTATTTGTGATTCAAAAGCAGATTTCTAATGAGTTATCAGCAATCATGCATTTTCTATTAAAGCAGAACTTTTAGAATCAAAATAACTGAATAAAAACAACCACAGATTGTTTAAATAAGTTCAACACAATGTGCAGAAAGATGTACAGAAATACTAACACCATACCCAAGCGACAACCCACTGACCTCCCTATTATCAACTACTCTTAATTTATTCCTAAGTAAGCCTCATGTCCCATTTCATACATAAATAGAATGCATTTTTCAACTTTTGCTGAGCTCTTTTCGCAGTAAAAAAAAAAAAAGTAAAAGGAGTCCTACCTACAACTTGGAGTTTCATAGTCAAGTTCCTACAACCTTCTCACTTAACCCTTTGATTTTGAATAGAAGTCTTTAAGTGCCTGCTTAAAATTTAACCAGAAGGAGGCAGTGAAGTGCATCCTTGGACCTGACAACTCATTCTCTTGGTACTCCCTTTCCATTCATCGTGTACCCCCTGCCTTCTGGCAGATTCTAAGGGAGCAAATAACTCTTCAGTGTACTGCTTTTTTCCAAGACTCAATATTGCCTTTTTAAATGAAGAGTGTTTGGGTCAGCTTTTACACTGCTGTGACCAAAAGACCTGATGAGAACAATTAAAGGAGGAAATGTTTGTTTTGATGCTCACAGCATCAGAGTTCTCAGTCCATAGACTGCCAGTTTCATTTGCTCTAGGCCCAAGGTGAGGCAGAACATAATGGCAGATGAGCGTGGTATAAGAAAGCAGCTCAGGACATCGCCGCCAACGAGGAGAAAGAGCTCTCCTCACCACAGACAAAATATAAACACCAAAGGGCACATCCCCAGTGACCCACCTCCTCCAGCCACACCCTACCTGCCTGCAGTCACCACCAGGTTAATCCCTATCAGGATTATCACACTGATGTGGTTAAGGCTCTCCTAACCGAACCATTTCACCCCTAAGTTTTCTTACATTGTCTCACACGTAAGCTTCTTGGGGGACATTTCATGTAAAAACCGTAACAAGAAGGGAAATTCCTATGACTAACTCAAGATCTCCAACTTCTTGCTTAAGGTTGTCTACAACTGTAACACACGGACACTTGAATTATATGTTAATCATGCCCTTTGATGGAGCTATGCATTTGCAGCCTAAGCATTAATTCTCAGACAAAACTCTATTAAAAATTTAAAATGTTTCTTATAAAAATTATAATATTTGTTTTAAAATATCCTTTCCTCTAAAAAGAAACATAATGTCTTTGAAGATTTTCTATGTGTTTTATTTTACTACATGATCTCAAATTGAGTATCCCTGGGGCTGTGTTCTCTGAATCTTCCACCTTTCATAAAATCTGCTTCTTCCACTTTGAAATCCTGTTACTATTCTGTGGAACTGAGTTTTGAATCATCTGTTTCTTAGATACCGTCATCCTCCACCTCCCAGAATTCTGCACATGGTTTGTTCAACCGGGATCTTGTTTATTTGGTATTCCAGGTAGCAGGGAGAGAAGGAGTTTGAGTTTTGGAAATGAACAATCAAAGAAAATGAGTAGATGGGACTGTTGCTTTCCAGTGCAACTGGAAACTGACTGAGACAAGATACCTGTGGTTGGAGAAGTGAAGATCAAGAACCAATACCCTTTAGGAGGCTTTGGGTGCAGCCTGAGATGGTGCAGCATACAGAAAAGCAGGACAGGCTGGGATGCCTCCCCACCACCCCTCCAGGGACCAAAGCTCTGACAGCACAGAGCCCATGCATGTGATACCATTATGGGCAATGGGAATAGTAAAATTCACCAAGTGGCTTCTCAGGTCTGCAACATGACTAGGGAGCTGGGACAGGTGGGATAGAAGAAATAATAGGGTGTGTTTCCAGTGCTGAGAGCAACTGACAGGCATGTTATCACGGGTGGCTGTCATCTAGAGATTCGTGTGAAGCATCCCTGGGAACCACAACCAGGATCTGAAGGATTCATTCAGCAGAGTCAGCTTTAGTAACTGGGCCACCAAACTACCTTAACTCAGTCATTAAAAATGAATAGAATCTAAATATCGAATCCTAATTGATAGCATTGACTCTGAGGTGCATAAGGATGAAGGACAATGCCAATATCTGCAACTCACCTTGAAATTATTCAAACAACAAGGCTGGTTGATGGATGAATTGATGGATAGATGAATTAATGGATGGATTATCCATACGGGATGAAGTAAATATAGCAATGCCGCAGTCTGGCTGGGCACAATCAGAAGCCACTTGTCAAAAGAAACTAACTTTATTTTTAGAACCAAACACGCCAAACAAACAGCCTCTCAGGAAAAACCCCTCAGAGCCTCAACTGCCACCACCGGCTTTCCACAAGCCTGTCTCTCCCCCCACAAGCTTCTTTCCACCTCCCACAATCCTCCTGCTCTTGAGGCCGATTGGCTGGGTCACGTGGGCAGAGCCAAAAAGTCCCCCAATGAGCAGCTCCGTGGTCTGAAAGGGCAGGGAAACAGTCCAATGAGCATCACCGCAGAGGAGCCAATCAGCTAGATGTTGCTGGGGCCGAGGAGCCAATCAGCTAGATGTTGCTGGGGCCGCTGTGAGCCAATCATCAGCCGGCAGCTGGATTGCTGGCAGCTGGAAGTTTGCTGGGGCCCCTTCGGCTGTGGCTCTCAACATAGCCAAATATTAGCAATGACAGAATCCAAGTACTGAGTGTTAGGAGCTCACTATAGATTATTTTTAACTTTTCTATACAGTGGAAATCTTCCATAGAAAATTTTGCAAAGTAAATATAATCTTGTTCTACAATCACAGAGCAGTGAGGTGTGCCGTATCTGGATGACCCAGGATTTAATTTCAGATTCTGTTGCCGCTTGTCCTGGGAGTCATAGCTCTTGTTCCACTCTTTTCTCAGCCCAACTTTTCCTTCTCTTCCTTCCTCTCCCTGGCACTGAAAGTCCTGGTTCTCTTTATGCTTTGCACCATGAGGACCTCACTCGACCATTCTACCTGTTATAACAGGTATGGCCCAGAATGCTGGCCCTACAGAGTGGGTGACCCTAAGACTTCTCCAAGGTTAGGACAGCTGGATTCTGCTGAGAATATTCCTGAGTGCCTCCTTCACTTCCTTGTTCCTCAGGCTGTAGATGAGGGGGTTCAACATGGGAATCACGGTCGTGTAGAACACAGACACCACCCTATCTTTTCCCGAGGACTGGCCAGAGTTATCCCTCAGGTACATAAAGATGAGAGTGCCAAAGAAGAGGGACACTGCAGTGAGGTGGGAAGCACAGGTAGAGAAGGTCTTGGCCCGGCCTCCAGCTGAAGGGATCCTCACAATGGCCACGATGATGAACAGGTAGGACACCAAGATGACCACCATGCAAGCGGGGAGGACAAAAATGGCGAACAGGATAATGACCACTTCCTGGGTGTAGCTGTCCCCACAGGTCAGCTTCAACAGAGGAGGGAGGTCACAGAAAATGAAGTCGATCTCACCATTCCCGCAGAAGGAGAGAGAGAAGGCTGAGACGGTCCGCACCAAGGCGCTGAAGAGACCAGCCACGTAAGCCCCAGACACAAAACCCAGCTGGGCCTTCTGCGTCATGATGGTGACATAGAGCAGGGGTTGGCACACAGCCACATAGCGGTCGTAGGCCATGATGGCCAGGAGGTAGCAGTCAATGGAACCAAAGAAGGTGAAGAGGAAGAACTGAGCGGCACAGCGTGTGTGGGATAAGGCTGCCCCGTGCTCCAACAGCACGGCCATTGTCTGGGGAACGGTGACAGACGAGTAACAGATGTCCATGAAAGAGAGGTGACGCAGAAGGAAGTACATCGGGGTGTGGAGTCGGCGGTCCATGCAGATGAGAACGATCATCCCCAAGTTCCCCGACAGAGTGATGAGATAGATGCACAAAAACAAGAGGAAAAGAGGGAATGCCCGTTCAGGATATTCGGTGAATGCGATCAGGAGGAATTTGGTCACTAAGGTGAGATTGGTCTCTGCCATGAGCCAGTGGTGCCTGAGGGGAAGAGCATGAAAAGCAAGTTAGGAAGCTGCAAATAGGACTTCCCTGCATGTCTACTTTACATTTACTAAACATGCACCGTGGACAGATCCTGGCAGGTGCTACGAGGGGTTTCAGAAATGACCTATCTGAACTCCCGCCTTCAAGCAAGTTCCGTGGCCTAGAGTCATGTAAGCATGTCAAGAACAAAAGATACAGGTATAGATTTCAGAATAGGGGTGCATATTCTCCCACTTTCATTGCCAAAGAGCTGTGTGAGCTCCGAGAGTCAGATAATCACTCTGAGCCAAAATTTGCGTATGGCTCCAACGGGAGCTGACTGATCATCTCTCACCTACCCTGAGGCCACCCTTTTCCTCCATGACCACAGGTCCTCCTTTATTTCCCATCCTCTTCATCTTTTGTCTGCATTAACAGCAGCCATGGAACTGACTGTTCTCCCTGCCATCAGATTCACTTCTTGTGAATTCTTGAAACATCAGTTAAAAATCTCAGTATTTTTAAGACTTTGATCATATCACATTCCCCTGTTAAATATCACATTACCCTGCCATGGTATCCCATCGTGGATAGGGTGTCGCTCAGACTCCCTAGTTTGGGAATTCTCCCCTGGAATCTCCTCCATTTACTTCCTCATGCCTCTTCTTACTTCTGAGACCTCACACCCATGTCACATCCTCACACAGTCTCTCCAGCCACACTGAGTTAGCAGGATTTCTCTGATCCACCATGTTCTCTCACATCTCTGTGCTTTTGGCAGAATACTTGCCTGGTATACCTTATCCTTCTCACCCATGGGTTCTTGCCAACTCTTGGGCTGCCTTCAAACCTCAGCTCAGGAGTACTCTTAAAGTCTCTGGGGTCACCTCCTCCAGTCAGTGCAGGGCCCTTGGAGGTCAGCACATGGCAAGGGCTTGAGATGTTTGCACAGAAAAGCCATCAAATGAGATATGAAGCCCCTTGCAAATGGAAAGGCACCATGCACATGTTCAAGTTTTATTTTTTATTTTATTTTATTGACTTTATTCTTCTGTTGGCCAACAGAAAATGCCTAAGAATAAAACTAACTAAAATTGATGAACAATCATGAAGGTCATAAGCCATTCTTGAGTTTACATGTCTATCTTCAAACTAACAATATGCTAACTTAATATCTGCTATCATATTTAACCCTCTTGGTTTTTACCAAAAATTGATTTTTTAAAACTATATGGTCTTGCCTGTAATCCCAGCTACTGGGGAGGCTGAGAAGGGAGAATTTCTTCAGTGCATGAGTTCAAGGCCAGCCTCCTTGGCAACAGAGTAAGACACTGTCTCAAAACAATATTTATTTATTTTTCTTTTTTATTGATTTAAAAAAAATGACAGCGGAATGCATTACAATTCTTATTACACATATACAGCACAATTTTTCATATCTCTGGTTGTATATAAAGTATGTTGACACCAATTTGTGTCTTTATACATGTACTTTGGATAATAATGTCCATCACATTCCGCCATCCTTGCTAACCCCCTGCCCCCTCCCTTTCCCTCCCACCCCTCTGCCCTATCTAGAGTTCGCCTATTCCTCCCATCTCCCCCTCCCTACCCCACTCAGCCTCCTTATATCAGAGAAAACATTCAGCATTTGTCAAAAACAATATTTAAAACAAGAAAGAAAGAAAACTCTAATTTTCTTTTTTTCCTATTGTTCTTAATAACAGAAAACAATATACACACTACTCTATGTGATTTGCATACTAATTCGCTTAATCCCCATAATCACTTTATGAAAAAGGAGATTCTCTTATCCTTATTCTACAGATGAGGAAACTGAGGCAAAAAGAGTTTAGGTAAGATGGAGAAGACAGCACAACTAGTAAATGAAGCAACCCTCATTAGGGCCAAAGCTGCACCCAGAAGTGCTGTTTACCATGCCACGAGATTTCACATGCTTCCCAGGGCTCTTCCAACAGCCCCTACTCAGGAAGTGCCCACCATTAAATCAACAAGCACAGATGCCTGCACTGCAGCCTATGAGTATCTGAAGGCTGGTGGAGGCTTTTGGACTAAGGGATAGAACGTCCTTTGGCAGACTTACAGTGTAACAGGATAGAGGAGGCATTGATCATCTTTAAAGCATAAGACTTTGGCAGCTAGAGCAGTGTTGGACTGACCTAGTGGGGAACGTGGTAAATAAAGGAAATTGGATCTGGTGACCTGAATTGAACAAAGAACCAGAAGAACCAGGTCAGTTCTCTCACCTGAATTCCACTTTGGCTTTACCTAGCTGGTCCTCTCCTTTGTCCACTATTTTTCCTTAGTCTCTAAAAGGTCATTTCTCTTTCGCTCTCTGGAGAAGGGTCCCACGGGTGTGGAGGGACCTGTGTGCATGGAACAGCAGGAGGTCGGGGTGGATCTGTTTGCACTTCCATGTCTGCTCAGTTATGATCGGAGCCAGTCTCTTGGATCCTCAGTGGCCTTCTCTCCTCCCACACCCCCTCACACACATGCCTGCAAATGTATGAATCAACGTGGGGACAATAATGCCTTAGCTGCCCGACGGTTTCTGGACTGTATGGTTCTCAAGAGCCTTCTAGGCAGCACTGTTCTGTCAAGGACTCTCTTCTCTTCCTCTCTGTTCCCATGACCTGCTAGGTCTGGTTAGGATACATTCTTCACCCTTGCTTTTGTTCTATTCCAGGCAGAAGTAGACACCCCACTCTAACATATATCCCTTTAGGAAGACACACTAATATTTGCTAGAAAAGCCCTGAGGTCCCCAGTCAGTAAAGTGATCTCTAAGGAAAGACAATTATTGCTCACATGGACTCCTCACAAAGCACCTGGTAGATCTCACTTTGGAGGAAAGAAGCCTTCCCTCCCAGTCCCAACTCCCAAAGCCCTAACAAATACCCAGAGTGCAGTCTGAAATTAACAATCCCAATTCTGCATAGTCCCAGGAGGAACTAAATGTCTCTGGCTTTAATTTCTCCAATCAGAGCAAGATCACAAAGGATGCCAATTGTCACCCTCACCAGTGTGGCTATATTCTGACAGAAGGGAGGCTTTGATCCACAGAATTAGGAGGGTCAACAGAGCACCCTGCAGAGAGACCTCAACAGGATGCATTCATTGTGTCATTTCTTTGCCCTTTCTGGGAGTCAGAGGTTTCATTAAGCTCCCCCCCTGCCTTTTTTTTTCCTTTAAACACAAATGAAACCAGAAGGAAAACAAAAGCCTGGGATGTTATCCAGAGGGGGATTGGGCAAGTTCTTCTTATTGATATGGCCTTTGCCAGTTCTCCACCTCTTTGACACCATGAGTTGTTTTTCTTTTTTTTTAATCCTCCAATTCATAAGCATTTTGCTAAATTGAATTTCAACAGTTCTCAATTCATAAAAGAAAACAAGATGAGAAAGAACAGAATAAATCTCCTCTTTGACAATTATGAAACCAAGAGAAAATGGGGCCGCCTGGTCCATCAATTCACCACTGTGCTAAGAATTCTAAATGAAGAATGATTAGAATAAGACATACTTCATGTTTGTATACATTTCAAAATACACTGTCATGTGTAACTAAAAGAACAAACAGAATTTTAAAAAAATGAAACACACATACAAAACACACACAACATCGGCCTGTTGGAAATAGGCAAACAAATAGGTGAGATAATCATCTATCGTTCAAGATGACAAGTACTAAGTTAAACTGTTAAGCAAAATGTGAATCATGCGCCATGGGGAGTCAGTGTAGGGTGCAGTTACTTACAGGTGGAGGAGATCAGGGAAGGCTACCCAGAGATGGGCTTTGACAGTCTGCTAGGATGGAGGAATGTTGACAAGCTCTGTAGGAAGAGGAATCAGCATGACCAAACATCCACAGTTAGATGATCCCAGGGACGACTCCTAATGCAATAATTGGCACTTTGATGACAGCTCAGAATGGTACAGATTCCAAAATGCTGGGGACATATCAGAAATCAGACATTTTCATATTTTCAAATATTTGCATGTACATAGTGACATATATAGAAGATAGGACACATATCTAAATCTGAAATTCATTTATATTTCAGGTATATCTTATGCACACAGCCTAAAGTTAATTTTATACCGTATTTTTAATACACCTATGTTTTGACTGTGACCTGTCACATGAACTCAGTGTGGAATTTTCCACTTGTGTCCTCAGGTAGGTACTCAAAAACTTGAATTTCAAATTTTCATATTAGCACTACTCAACCTATATGAGGCAAGTCAAGTCCAGGACTCAGGATAAAGTATATAGGTGTTGGTTCAAGTGCAAAAAATAAGGTGGCAACAAAAACCTCAGTATAGAAGATAAATAATATTTTAGCATAATACTTTAAAAAATCAAAATCAATGCAATATAGTCTAAGATAAACAAATATAAAAATTGTAAATAAAGGCCGCACAGCATTACTGATTTTTCCCTTGGCCTCAATCCCATCATGGTTCGACAGTTGCACCGGTGCTGGGAGATATGTTGAAACGGGAGGGCAAGACCAGAGAGCTTCCAAGGGACAGACTTTCCCTTGGAGAAAAAGCCTTTCCATCATCTAGGGATTTTCATTTCTTTTCTCTCTGTTCTCTGTGTAAAAAAAAAGAAAATGCAAGAAAGTCAACATAATAAGATCAATACTTGAAGAGTGCCTTTAACCATTTCAAATCATTCCCTTCATCTATCTTCACAAGAGCCCTATGGGATAGAGAGAGAATGAGACTCCTCATTGTACTGAGGAGTAAACAGAGGATTAGAAAGGTGTTCAGGTCATACAGTACATTTTGTCTGTCCTGCATACCCTGTTTGCTAGAGGACTCTGCCCTGGGCACAGCCCCTTCTGCCCAAGGGGATTTTTTTTTTTTTAATGATCATGACACTCTCATGCATATGCATGTCAGAGCTCTCTAAATGAAAAAGTCTTCCAAGCTATCCTGTGTTAACAAATAACAGTAACACAATGTGACTTGCA